CCGCTTAAGCACGAAAACTCTGGCATTATATATCGTGGAAGTCGTTTATCGGGCCGCATTGAAGACAATGGGAACGCGGAAATTATTTATCGTAGAATAATTAACCTCGCGCCTAATACGAGCCACGACCATACATACCATCATCCTTACTATCTGCTAGATAACTTCGTATATACATGTGTACACGTATACAAATATATGTATATAGATATATGATTTTATATATATATATATATATATATATGTATATGTGTAGAGTAATGAGAGTGCGACGACAACACGCGATAAAGCGGATTTCAAATTAGAGGAGCAAACTCGGCTGATGGTGTATGGTCTGTGTTACATTCTCTTTCTCCCTCTCTTTCTCTCCCTCTCTCTCTCTCTTTCTCTCTTATCGTCAGTTAAACGAGGCTAAGCGCATGGCGCTTAATCGTCCGTCGTATATTTTTCGTTTAGGAGGAAACTGTTAACGTAAAGGTAAAGAAAGGGAAAGTGAGTGTAAAAAAGAAGAATAAGAAGAAGGGGAAGAAAAACAGAACGGAAGAAGGAGAGTGTACGGGATAATAAGTAGCGCTGTGTGATAAAGCATCCTTTATTCTTCTATACTCCTCTTCCTTTCATTCCTTTTTTTCTATTTCTACATTGTCTTTTTTGTATTCCTTTTAATTTTTAAAACTTTTTTTTTATATTTTTTATCTTACCTCGGCACACAGAACACCGAACGTTTATTAACAATAACATCTAAGAGGTGGAGAAAAGTGGTGGTGGTGGTGGTGGTGGTGGTGGTGGTGTAGGATGAGAGTTGAGAAAAATTTTACCATCATAGTAGATATATATTTTTCTGCATTATGCTCTACTATAGGGACTTTAGTTTTCACAATAGGGTATGAAGGGCTAAGCATGCTTTTATAGTAAAGCAGAAGTACGGACGATAAAACAAAACGTTCGTAAACGTTTGTGGATCGGGACGGAAAAATGTATATGTATTCGTATATTTTTTCGAGTAGCACTCAACTTTTAATAACAACTAATGTACTATCTTTCTCTCTCTCTCTCTTTTTTTTTCTTTATTCTTTTTATTCTTTTACATACTCTCTTCTTGTTTAACCAAAGCTTTTCTATTATCCTCTGTGTTCCTTCTTTTTTCTTTATTTGTTCTTTCATTATTTTATCGGTAATTAAAAGAAGAATGTAGAGATTCTTTACGTTTGGATTAAAACGGAGGAAAGAAAAAAAAGGGAATAAAAAAAAAATAAAAGTAGTACGGAGAAAGGATTAAAATTGAACGAATAAACACTTCGTCGATTTGGTTACTCGCTAAGAAAGCACGGTGGTTTATTTAAAGACCGAGATAGAGAGAGAAAAAGAAAGAGAGAGAGAGAGTCAGGTGAAAATTATCAAAATTTAAGATGACGATAAAGAGTCTCTCTCTCTCTCTCTCTCTCTCTCTTTCTTTCTCCGTCGAATAAAAATGTCGGCGTAAAAGGTATCGTTTTCTAGAGTTCGCTTTGGAAAACTCTCGCCTTCATTCTCGTTCTACTCGAGAAAAGTCGTGGCTGATTCCGACATTATGCAAACGAGGTGCGACAAGGAAACTTAGTATTTCTATCCTCATTCCAACGTAATTTTTCTCCGAACTACATTTCCGTCTACAAGGCGTACCTTAAAGACGAAGTTGAACGAGTAAGTTCGGGGGTAAGAAGAGTAAGAAGAGTAAGAAGAAGAAGAAGAATCAAAGTTAAGTGTCTCGTCCTTTACATTCGAGCCACTTTCCGTATACAAAGTGCATAAGAGAATCGAAAATGCGATGAAAGAGGGAGAAAGCAAGATGGCAAGGGGTAAAAGAAAGGGGTGGGTGGGTGGAGGTGAAGAACGACGTTTGCATCGTGTCGTGTCTCGAATAAACGTTTAAAGCAGCCTTAGAAAGCCAACTAAATCTATCTCTTTCTCTCTCCCTCTCGTTACTCTTTCCATCTAAAATAAGAAAAAACAACAACTAAAGTTTAAGCACTCTCGAAAAACCATAACGTATTCTTTACGATCGGCAAACGATATCTAATATTGTAGGAATTCAAAGCATTCCATTGATCGATTTGATTTCGAGATCGCAAATGCCCTCCCCTCTCTTTCCATCCCCCTCCTACCGAATGTCCCAAAAATGTTCTAACAGTGTCTTCCTATCTCGTACCACCGTATTCTCGAATCATTCTCGTGTTCGCGTGCACCGGTCTCTAACATGGACGAGATGTGGACGTTGTAAAGCGAACATTGGATAACTTTATTGGAATTTCAGGACGTTCTTGACGTGCCCGTATCTTACGATGTTAGATTAAAAATCTATCAAAAATAAGGGAATGTGGAATAGAACTTGGCGTGCATCCTACGATTCCCGTGTGGAAAGTTTGCAGTACGCTGCCTGCTTAATTTCCATTGCACCACTTATGGATGATAAGTTAGTGATTCGTTACCTTCGTTCATTCATGTACGTCTTAATTATTTCATAAAACATATTATTTCTATAACGGTTTGATGTAAAAATGATAAGGTAAGAAATTAGATTGTTTTAATTGACGTGTTAGAGAACGTAAAAGAGAAAGAAAAAGAGAGAGGGAGAGAGAGAGAGAGAGAGAGAGAGAGAGAGAGAAAGACACTAAAACATGACAGGGAAATTTTAGAAGGAGAAAGGAGATATGGAAAAGAATGATGATTTTTAAAAACATCTTATACACCAACTTTCTCGCATTTAATCCTTAAATACTGTCTCGACTGAAATATCAGATGGTAATAGCAACAAGCTTCGGGTTATTACTTTCTCTTTCTTCTTTTATATATTTTCTTTTTTTTTTTCCCCAACTTTATTTTTTCTAATTTCAGTTAATAATGAAAATGTTAAACAATATTACAGCACGTAGAAAATAATAATAATAATAATAATAATAATAATCAACTTTTCGTACTCGTATGTGTTATATTCGAAATGACAAAAATAATTTATTGGTTTTCACACAAAAACACACACACAATAAATTAATTTTATTTATTATTATTTTATTATCCAAGAGAGAGAATGATACAAAATAAATAAATCAAGAATCATAAACATTCTACCGCTTAGCATATATAATTCAACAACAAATTCATTTTTCAATGATAAAAAAGATACACGAACAATTCCAAACGATAATATAATATAATAAATAATATAAAAGAAAAAGAAACAAAATCTCAATTTACAGGTATTAGAAAGAAAATATAATTAAATGCATATCTACGCGTAAACAGAACTCGAAACGTGTTTTAATATCGACGAGATAAATGTTTGATGTTATGAAAAATCTTTCGACTATGTAAAACCGGTGGTGGTAGTCCGTTAAACGGAAGGTGACAGAGATTTATCGCGAGATGAATCGTAATCGGAAATAAAATATCGTTTTAAATCGTTCGCTCGATATCGAAAGATTATTAGAAACGTACAAGGTACATAAAAAGGTAGGTAGAAATAGATTGTTGTAGGTAGGTAGGTAGGTAGGTAGATAGATAGATAGATAGATAGGAAGGAAGGAAGGAAGGAAGGAAGGAAGGTATATGTAAATCGTTGCTTGTATACAGATCGCGCATAAATCATATATCCTGCATCGCATTATGCTTAAATCGTAAATCACTATATTCCGATCTAACGCCCCCTTTTATTCCCTCCCTTTCTTTCTTTTTTCTTTTTTTTTTTTCTTTTTCCAACGAGATAACTCTAACACGCGAATTAAAATATCGACGACAATTCAGTAAAATACAATCATTTTTATATTCCACTTTAAGTAGTAGAAAGAGTGAAGAAAAAGAAGAAGTTAAGAGAGAGAGAGAGAGAAAAGGGGAAATAATATAGCGATAAGGAGAAATAACCATCGGATCGTTATAATCCGGGTAAGAAAGTTGTTCGACATTCATCGTAATGATATAACATCGTCAACGTAATAACAGCGTGGAAACATCACGAAACATTGTTCAACTTTACCTTACTCTCTCTCTCTCTCTCTTTCTATTTCTAGTTCTATTTCTGTATCCTCTACTTCGGCATCGATCGCTCGACGGGGTTACGCTTCTCGGAACGACGAAACTACAATATTTCGAAGCTGCAAGAGAGGAGAGATGCATCCGGTATAAAACGTATGCGTTTCCTGAAAGACGCGCGTGTACGTGCAGAGTTTCTTGTATCGGGAAACCACGAGAATTTACTCATACAAGCTAACTCGTTCATGTATATATGTATATATATATTCTCTCTCTCTCTCTCTCTCTCTCTCTCTCTCTCTCTCTCTCTCTCTCTCTCTCTCTATCTCTTTCTCTTTATCTTTATCTTTCCCACGGTTGTCGGATAGGTCAAAAAATCTTGGAAGCCTTAGCGTTGTCCGCAACGAAGTCCGGTTGCGGGTTGGTAGCACGTCTATATAGCTAACACTTTGGCTAAAATTCCGGAACATTCTCTGGACGTGTCCGTGCCGAAACTATCGAATTAATGGTGTGTGTAGAACGTTCAAGAGAAACGGTATTTCCCGTTGACGTTAGTACCAAAGCCACACCACACCGACTGTCTGCTGCAATTCCATCGAACCTACAACCAGGAATGGTTCTCGATGGTTGGTTGCGTCTTCGCCTCAGTCTCTAACCCTTTTCACCTATTCTATTTCTCTAAGCTTTTTGTTGGTCTATCAGCGATGTTCCGTCTCTAAGTGATACCACCACTCGATACTAGTGTTTCTACAAACTAATTATTATAATTTCATCTAATTATTATACTTTACCAACTTTCTCGACAATTATTTTGCATACTTACGCGTTTGAATTATATTTTTGTTTTCTTTTTTTTTTCTTTTTTTTTCTTTTTAATTTAATCAAACTAAAATATGTTTTATCAAATGGAGAGTAGATGGTATAAGCAATGTAATTAAGGATCGGGGGATTATCTTGAAAATAGTTTATTAACCAAGCGTATTTTATCGTTTCAGAAGAGTTCACGGAAGGAGGAATCTCCCCAACGACATCACCGAAGCGTTCGACCCTACTCATCGAGGGTGAGTTATTAATCTCGTATACCCGGTGTCTAAAGGTTCTCTCTAAAGTGCTCTTGCCATTGAATCGAAATCGATCCGGCTTCCTGGTTATTATTACGCCCGTAGGATATGAGCGAAAGGGAAAGCCGTTCTTATTTATTTCAGTGTCATTAACGCGCGATCATTCCGTACGTTCCTTCGTTCATTCGAACGAACGATACCCAGGTAAAACGATTCCTCCCGAGTGAAAGTAGATCAATTTATATATATACACATAGTTTAAATTATAGTATATAAAAAAATCTAATAAATAAATATATATATAAATAACTATCGAAATAATATTTTACTTACACCAAGATATATTAAATGAAACTATAATTAGGATCTAATGATTAGTTTCGCGTGTTAAATAACAACTTGTTTAGAAATTTTCAACGTATATACGACAAGATTTACTAGTTTCGAGAGTGGATTAATTCTAGGAAAGGTTGATGGAAAGGAAAAGGAGCCTATTCTCGTATAGTAAATATATATATATATATAACGCACCAATAAGGTAGCTCGATGAGAAAGGGCTCGGTGAGAAGGCCGATAAGGGAGCCGGGGTCCGCGCCTTAGGGTGCGTTCGTTGAGAGGAGGGAGAAAGAAAGAGTAAGAAAGAGAGAGAGAGAGAGTGACAGAGACAGAGAGAGCTCTTAGTCGACCCCGCTAATTATTTCGTTCGTGAGCTCCCTACCGATGACGTCAGCTTTCGACCATCCCATCTAAAAACAGTCTTCACCGACAAGCAACGCTTTCGTCTTTTCTGCTGCCTCACACTTGTGTTCCGTGATCCCTGATGCCTTCTTACTGAGCAGCCTTCCTTCGTTGTCTTCGGCCTAATGGCCATACACTTTGAATATTTTATCTTCGTCTCTTTCCTTTCATTCATCTTCACAAAGCGAATGAGAGAAAGAGATAAAGAGAGAAAGAGAAATAGAGACAGAAATAAGGACCAACACCACCAACGATGACGATGAGGTGGTGGTTGGTCACAGACGAAATCTTTTTAATAGTGAAGGGGAACAATGTGTCGAGATCTTTTTATATTTGGTGTTAAAATGAAAGGACCTTTCTTTGAAAGTTATCAAATTATTCTTCATTTTATTTTTATTTTTCTTTTCCATTCGTTTTTACGTTGATTGATTATCAACTTAATTAATCCAGTTAATGATACTTTCTCTCTTTCTTTGTTCTTTGTTCTTATCGTCAGACTCTTATCTCGTGATTTTGTTTTTTTACTTTGCGTTTAAAAGAGGGGTGTAGGGGTTAGGGGGTAGAGGTATCTATAAGATATACATCTCGTACAATTTGCCATCTAAAGTAGACTCTAACCGAATTTGAAAGTTCAAATTTTCCATGAACACAAGTAGAGGTATAAGTATTGGTAAAAAGGGATATAGAATATAAGGATGGAAGAAAGAAAGGTATAGACGACGACAATGCAGCACAAAACGCCATGTGGAAATGGCGGGCGATAAAAGTCTCGTTTACCGCACGATTCGTTTGAATTTTAAGAAGACGCGATAACGCGTGAGCTTCGATCGATCGATTCCGGGGGCTTGAGTTTTCTCCGTAGTAGTCCTGAAGTTTCTCTTTGTAAGTGTTGCCGATTCTTCAATCTCAGTTTAAATCAGACCTCCCCACCCCATGTATTTTCTCATTCGTCGATGCCTTTGGGGTCCGTGTGTGTTCTTCCTAGCTTCCTACTTAACGTCGACAAGCTTACGGTTTACAGTTGCTGCCGATAACAAGGGCTAGGTGATAAATTTGAGAATTTCCTGGTAAAGTTGTAACGTTGATGGAAATACTCGATGATAGAAAAAGAGAGAAAATTAGAGATAAAAACGGAGAGAGAGAGAGAGAGAGAGATAGAGTAGCTCGTTAAAACACGATTCTAGTATTCGAAGTAACTTTCGATTTATTTCAATGAAAATTCATACCTTGTGAAAATATACAAAAGGTCTTTTGATATTTTCCCCGTTTAATAATTACATTCATGACATTTACGGTTACGTGATTACAACAAAACAAAAGGAGAATACTATTCGTATATATTTCTTATTAAAAATCCTCTTTTGTAGAATTTCATCAAATGTACATGCACACGTACACGTGCACACACGCGCGCAACGATAAATATTCCCGATTGAATTCTATTCAACCATTTTGCATGATTTACTAATGCAAACCCGAAAATTATAAATAATAAAAGAGAGATTCGGTAATAATTATATTCATTAAATTATCGATACGTGTGTTGCGCGAATTATTAATATTATATTATAATAGTAAAATTAAAATAATTATTCTCTAATGTGTTAATCAACTAGAAGAAGGATGAGACGATGAGATACGAATTTAATGAAGCGTATAAGAAAAGAAAAAAAAAAGGGTGTCGAGTAGTGTGCTTCGTGAAAAATTGCTAAATAGGTAAGAAACATGATGATGATGATGATGATAATATAATAATAGTAATAGAAAAATTGTAGTTTAATGAGATAGAGGAGTGTCCTACCGGTCAACAACACTTTGGATATCTTGAAAATCTTCGTTGTTGTATTTAAGGGCGTGGTGGCAGGTAGGTAGGTAGGTAGGGTAGGTAGGTGCGGGGTGGGAAATCGGTCTAAACCAACCACCCACAGCCACCCACAGGAGCGCCTACAAGCAACCACCACCGCTAGCAACAACAAGAGAGACGCGTGATAGTCTAAACGCGCGTTACGACGATGAGGTCGTTCGCTAAAGCACGAGCAACAACCAACCATGGCTCTACACTAGATTCGCCCTTTCTCCTCCCTTCGCAGCCCCTCGAGAACCACCCTTTCGCGTATTCACGCGCACGAACACAGCTTCGGGGATCCACGTCAGAGACCACACATTCTGATTAGTGGCAAATAATAGCCGTAACAATGGGTCCCACCATCGCGAGCGACGGCTCGTCTGTCTGTCTGTCTCTCTGTCTCTCTCTCTCTCTCTATCTCTATCTGCTCTATTTCTGTCTCTGTCTCTCATTTGCTAGTTTCTCTCCATGCCTATGTAGATTGGCGCGCGCGCGTGTGTGTGTGCTCACATCACAGATGGCGTTCCAGCAGTAGTAAAGCCTTAACGCGTGAGTATTGCACGCATACGCACGCATTGTAGGTGCATTTCTACGTAGGTGCTTTCACGCGTGCATGTGACTTTGCGTGTTCGCATATGGGTCCCCCTTTGTGAATACTGAGTACGAGAGAGCAAGTGAGTGAGTGAGAGAGAGAGAGAGAGAGAAAGCGCCTTTGCGTTAACCCCAGAGACACGAGCCAATCAATCCCCGTCTGCTTTGGGCTCAACCCTCCTCCTACACACGCGAGTGTGTTTCCCTTCAGAGAGAGAGACAGAGAGAGAGAGAGAGAGAAAAGTACGGTCCTGGAATTTCGATGATCTTCGCGCTCTTCGAAAGACCTTTTTCTTCCCTTCCTTTTCTTCTTCCTCTTCTTCTACTTCTATTCTCTTTTCCCTTTCCCTTTTTTCTCGACCCTTCGAGACGCGTCGATCGTCGAGAACGCTCGTTTGCCGATCGCGATTTAGAAGGATCAAGAATATGTATATAGGTTTATGTGTGCGTCTGTATACGTGTGTAGGTACTATGTACTATATATATATATATATATATATATATATGTATGTGTCAGAAAAAGAAAGAAAAGAAATATCTATAAGAAGGGACGAAATCGTTCCTGTCGAGTCTTTGGATTTCAAGAGGGTGAGAACAAGGCGTTGCGACTTTCGGAAGGTTGCTTTTATTAGGCGTCGGGAAAGAAGGGCCGAAGGGTGCGAAAGAGATGAAACGAGACGAGACGGGCTCCTCTTACACCCGGTGGTAGGTAGTAGGTACTTAACGACTAGCGTGAAAATGTCCTGGCCCGTCGCGATAACTTTTTTCTCTTCAAGAATCTCTCCCCTCCCCTCCCCTGAGTGTTTTCATTTATTTATCTTTCAGACGAGTAAATCCCACTTGCTCGAAATGTCTCCAAACACTTTATTATCATTCATTTGTCGACTAACAATAAGCTATATACATTCACACACACACACACACAAATACATATACACACATTTTAATATTTATATCTCATTTCTTTTTTTATTATTTTACCTTTTAAACAACGTATATATTATTATATTATATATTGTTTTATTTATTTATCTTTAAGACGAATAAATACCACTTGTTCGACGAAGTGTATTCAAACACTTAATAGTTTGTCGGCAAAGAAGTTACTCGCATTTTAATATTCCTATTTACTTTTTTCGTTTTATTTTTTAAGTATATTTAAATTATACTCACCCCCTCCCTTCCGAAAGTTTTTAACGTTTTCTTAGATAATTTTTCTTTTTTTTTGTTGAATAACATGCAATCTATTCTTATTTTATATTTTTATATTATTCTATATACTGTTTAAAAAAAGAACATAATTACAAAATATTCTCTCTGTATGTAAAATTAATAATAAAATGAAAGAAACTTTTCTCGCGACGACATATTTATTATACCTATTATAGTTCGATAAATATTATTTTTATGTATATTTCGAGAAGAATTATGGGTACGTATCGTTTGTATAAGTATAAAGAACAAAAAAAAAAAGAAGAAAAATCGAAGTTGGTTCGATACCACTCACCGATACCATTATTACTACTACCTCGATTTTCATTTTTCAACGAAACGTGACTAATGACACCCAGTCGTATCTCCGTCAACGTCGTTTCTCAACGAACTCCAAAGGTGAAAAATCTCGTATCGAATATATGCATATATATATATATATATGTATGTATGCATGTGTGCATGTATAAATGTATGTATGTTTGTATGTATGTATGTATGTATGTATAAAATCCTTTTGAGATCGAACAACCTTTTCGAATTTCAAGGTCGGGGTTAAAAGATTGAACGATATTTTCCGAACAACCGAAGTTTTCCATATTCAACTTAGAAA